CACCATCTGACAAATGAGTGTCCAATTTGCGGGGGTCCATCATCAATAGTCAGTTTTCCTGCTTCCTTTTAAAGCCACCAAAAATATGTGCCCTCACAAGAAGCACGGCTTGAAAGGGAGATAGCACCGAAACCAGACAAATCCAGGACAGAAGGTAAGAGTAAGAGTGGTGGCTTCAAGGGTAAATTTGGGTATGGGTCAATATTAAATCACCAGGGGACAGCAAGTTTTGGTCCATGTTTCCATTTACATTTTGGGTACTTTTTTTTGACCCACACCCAAATGTCTCCAACCCGAACACGGGTCCCTTTGAAGTTTGGGTCCTTCTGGAGAGGGGATTGGGTGATTTGTGGTTCTATCTTGACGGGGGGGTCTCAGAAAGCTATTCACACACCTCCTTGGGGTTTCTCAAGCGATTGCAGTTTGAGGGCGCTCTCAACATGCTTGGGATCCGATGGTTGGAAACCATCGAGAGACAAAAGCTGCCAGGGGTTCGAGGACACTGTCATGGAGCAGAATTACGCATTGCAGTTTCATGGCCTCGCAAACCGCATGGTCTAAACGGCGCAATGTTCAAGTTGGAAAGACACACATTCGAGAGTCCATTCCAGTTATGTCTGAAAACGGCGGGCCGCGCTTGATTGCTAGTTTGAGTTGGATGGTTTCCGTACTGCACATACTCCACTCTTGGTCATTTTCGCAAGAGGGCCTTTTGGGGTGAATAGCAGCTCGCCACGGTCCTGGTTTTCCATTACACCGAGGGATCCCCTAAAGAAAACCACACACACACACGCACACACTTGGAACTCATACTTGGAACTCACACTTGGGACTCACACTTGGAACTCGGGTGGAAACAGGCGATTTTTCAGGGACCCCCTAAAAAAACAGACACGCCCCCTTGTATGTTCTCCAAACTCCCCCGGCGCAACCCACGCAACGGCACCCGACACCCGGACGTCTCCTTTCGCACGCCGGCCAGCACCGCACTCACGCGGGGGCGCTCTCGGGTCAGCAGGCCGTTGTCCGAGAGCCCGAGGATGGACCTGGCGAGGCTTGGGCTCTTGCTGCGATAGGGAAATGACCCTTCCGGGTGTTGGGAACCGAGGAAGACTCCTTTAAAGGACACCACAGGGGGTGGTCCCGAATGTTCCTCCGTTCTACATCGCGTTGCTCAGGTCCAGAACAGCAGCCATCCCGGAGACATTGGAAGCAATCCTGAGGTTGTGAGACAAGTGCGATAGGTAGGGAATGACCGAGGGGGCTGGGAATGTACCAGAAGGGGATTCTCTTAAAGGAAACCATAGAAGGTGGTTTTTGTTGGGATCATTCCCTCATTCCCTGATGAGAGCCAGCAAGGTTGGTTTAGTGTTTGTTTAGGGATGATGGTTTGAGTGGGGGTTAGGGAAGGTGGGTTTAGAGTAAGTTTCCACTTGGTTTAGGCACGGTTTTGGGTGGGTTGAGGGATGGTTTAGGATTGTCGTTTGCTGAGACTCAAGACAACCGCGATGTTTCCTGCTTTTGTTGGGGAAACCAAGACAAACAACCTAAAGGACACACCCAAATGAGGTTCGGAATCTGGCCGATCCGGCCAACGCAGAAGTGGAGAGTGTATCAGATGCAGACATGAAAACTTCTGATAGCAGCGCTGAAAACGACGCTGGGCACCCTTTTCAAGATTGTAAAGCTTCCGGAACCACTTGGAGCTCCGGAACACTCCCGAGCTAGCTTCGGGATGCATCCAAGAACCTGCTTCATCCGGTCCGCCTTTGGATCCGGCGGCCTTCCTTTAACACCCCCCAAAAAAACATTTGCCCTGAAGAGCACATGCCCCTTTTGGAAGGTGCTCTCCCCATTGCAGCGTGCGGTTGCACAACATGTTGGAGCAAAGAACGATAAACCGTCCAGCACTTCCAAGATCTTCCAAGGGTTTAAAAATAGCCCCAGAAATCCCCAATATGCGCACTTCGGACAGCCCTTAGAAGGTGCTGGTTGTTTGGATCGAGTTGCTTCCCCCAACTGAAAGCTATAGGGGTTCTAACTTCGACAAGAGAAGGGGCAGGACGCACATGTTGGAAGGGTGCTGTTGCGCAGGGTGTTGGCGCGCGTGCTGTCGCGCGTGCCCGGGAAGGGTGTAGCGCCATTGCAGCGTGCAGTCTATCACGTTTCTCTGGAATCGACACTGGTGCAATTGGGGAGCAGCCCCGTTGACCAGCTTGGATCAAAGCTGCGGGGAATGGCTTTCCACTGTGATACCAATGGAGGACCAGTTCGCGAATTCAAGAAGCTTACTGTCATTCCAGAAGTCGGAACCAACTCCTGATTCCTACAGCCCCGTGTTGAACGAATTGAAAGGGCTGGTGACTCACTTGCAACGGCTGGAACTGAGATGCCACTGTCACGAAGACCACCTCTGGCCTGGCCGTCTTGTTCTTCGTGGGTTGGGCGAGGGCCTACCCTCTGATTGTTTCGACACGTTTTGCCCAGCACTGGTTTCCCCTCTTGGAGCAAGCTCCAAGGTAGACTTCAACCCTGGTTGTTCCAACCAGCAAAAGAACCGATTCCTGGGTTTAGCCCTTTGCACCCAAAGCCATGGGACCCTTTTGCGGCCTTCCCCCCAGAAACCTTCGACAAGCGCCGCCGGCAGTGCGCCGCCACAACCTGCACTGAGATCTTGAAGGTCTCGGCTTCGTTGATGCGGCGACCTCATGTCCAACCCTTGCTATGGTAGTTGTTTACAAACAAAATGACATGACTTGTTTGCAGTCGTTTGCTAAACATGGACATGACCAAACAAATATATATACATATATATATATATGTATATATATTATGCCAGCTAAGTTGAACCCCTTTTGTAAGAAAATCCCAACACGGCAAGCAGTAGGGTGATCTCCGCAGAAATTGTGGTTGTCGTTTTGGTTTCGCTTCCAACGAGCCAACAAAGTGCCATCAAAAGGACGCCGTCAATCCCCTCGTTTGCGGGGTGGATGGAGTTCAGGTCCCATCGGCCCATCTGCCCATTCGCGGCTGCCAACCGCAACAGGGAAAAGGAACAAACACAACTATCGGTTCGCCTCCTTTGGTAAGGCAAGGCCATGTTTGGGCCATCCTTCAAGGGAGCGGCACTTGGGACCATCCAAGGGCTCCACCGTTCCAAGAACCATCTTGAACCGTCCCAAACAAAAACACATCTCCACATTTCTCGATACCCTTGTCCACCTTCCCCCACGAAGTGGTTTGGATTGGGGTTCTAACCCCCCAGGCCATTTAACGGGGCCCCGAATCCTTAAGTCCCCAGAAAAAGCAACATAATTTCCAGTAGTGATAGGTTCCACTCTGAAACCAACAGGGGCAAATCAACAAATCCAGTAGTGACAGATTCCAACTCTAAAACCAACCGAACAAAATACAAAAGCAAGAATATGGTTCCAACTCTAAGGACAATACAGAAAAATAAAAACATCATTTCCAGGAGTGACAGGTTCCAACTCTAAAACCAACAGGCAATTTCATTTAAAAAAGGGGGGAAAAACAGCCCCTCATTAAACAAATCAAACCAAGAACGAACAAAGAACAGCATTTAAAACCAACAGGGACCTTATTTATTTATATATATATATATCTATATACATATGTGTGTTTAAAGAAAGGAACACATCCGCCCCCCCCTCCCCCCCAAAAAAAAACAACTGTCCGCCCCCCCCCCCAAAAAAAAAAAAAACACCCCGCGTGTCATGGGACGCGGGATGCGTTTTTCCGAGGCGCTGAGCTGCGGCAGCTGCAGCTCCGCGAGGCGGTTCTGCACCTCGCTCCAGCGGTTCTGAGTCCAAAAGTGGGAGCTGGACCTCGTGGAAACGGGTGTGCCTCAAAATTAGACGACAAACCGCGGGTGTCCATGTTTCCACTTGCCAGGGCAACCCATTTTGGAATTCCGGTTTTTTGAGCCACAGCCAAATCAGTGGCCTTCTTGGGCGGGGAAGCCCGTTCTGGGGTTCAGGATGAAAAAACCTGAATTGGCCACACATGATGGAAAAAGGCAGGCAGCTCAACCTTGGTTGGTTCTGCTTGGTGGGTTCTATTTGGGTATTTATAGTAACCCGCCAGGAAAAAAACAGATTTAGAGGATGCCCTTAGGGGACGACCCTGCTCCTGGACAATCGAAGCGGGACAAGCGGTTTGTTGACTCAAGCCGGAATGATGGCCTTTGACCTGGGCCGTGGATCAGGCGTGCATGTTACTTGTGGACCCAAAGTAGACATCAAAATTTGGCGAGGATTCATGTCCGCAAACCACTCTTCAGCTGGATCCCTATGCAACGTCATAGCCAAATCGGCTCCCAGGCCAAACTGGAAATGTGGGTGGCTCCAAAAAATTGGACTCTCGTGGGCAGGTTCCCTGCTTCCACTTCAAGGCCAAACCCACAACCTCCCCCCCGCCGGATTTGATTGGAGGCCGGAAAAACAAATCCACGAGGTGCCATCTTGATCGCAATCGCTTGTTTATTTTTGAAAAAATGTGTGGTGCCAATTTACAACATTCATTGAACGAATTGTTGAAAAATATCAAAATTCGAACAACACATACAATTTGCACGGTCAAAGGACCTGATCAAGAAAAATTAACAAAACACAAAACAAAACGTGGACAAATGTGATGATCGTACTGGTGCCTCTGGTTTATGGGAAACTCAGTGAGTCTCCTTTGTTTCCGTGATCCTACTAAGTGAGGCCCCACTTGGCCACAAAAGGCTGTCTTTTTTGAGGATACCCCTTGCTTCTGGCATTTTTTGGGGCCCCCACCCAAATGACCACACACTGTAGGCAGCAAAGGTTTCACCAAACCAATGGGACGAGGGGACAAGCCCTGGCAAGTGGACTCTCATGCGCCCTTAAGGCCTGTGAAATACTCAGGTGTTGACCAAACATGGGAAGAGACACAAAGCCCATTGACTTGTTGCTACCAACACTGTCCTAAAGGTTTACATTGGCACCACGATCATCCCGATTCGACTGAGTAGCAGAACTCCCCTCCCTACTTAAATGGCCAAGAGGGGCCTCCAGCGCTGCTAAAATGGTGTTCGTTCTGGAACCTTGGTCCATGATCACTTCCGGGAACGTGTTCGCGTACCACGTCATAGCAGGAGGCGCTTCGTACTGAAGGTCAGCACTGCGCTCAGGACAGTCTGCCACAAAGGCCCAGGCAGCGGTGACCTCTTGGCGCGCACGGGCGCCCAAGCTGCAGCTGCCCACGTCTACTTCTCTTCTTGGCCTCCCCTGCCGGCCTTGCATTCGTGGCTGCCTTTTTCTGGCACCCCGCGGCCGATTCATGACAGCCGCGGGACATACTTCGCCGCAAAGCAAATCACTCGGCCCTTGGATCTGCCGTCTTTCGCCAGGGTGTGCCGCAAATTCCACATATCGATCGCCACAAGCAGACAAAACAACGTGAGACCACTGATGCGTAGGGTTGTGGGCGATTTGAGCATTCGATGTTTGGGAACTTGGGGGTAGGCCACGATGGCAAGCCCGTCATTTCTATGAGGTCCAGTTCCCACTCCCACTGTTGGAATCTTGCGTTTGCCTCTTGGCAAATCCCGGTCAAACCAAAAACTTTGTCCAAGCCTTCTCCCCCACCCAAAAGAGATCCAAAGATTGGATTTGGTGACAAACATTTCGGACCCTTGACAATGCTTGGCCAAACCATGTCTTAACGACATGGAGATAAACCAGACATCCAAACTCCTGCTTTACAACAAACCAGGTTCAGCGAAGTGTCCCTTTAAAACCCCAATCAAAAAGGGGGGCTTCCCGGATTTTGGGGCTTGGTTCAACTCTGCTTCCCCTTCAAAACCAATCCCAAACACGGCATCAAAATCCTTAGTTGGAGACCTCTCCACTTCAAACCCGCCTCTTTTCTCTGGTGCTCGGGGTTAGGTTCCGAGGCTTGCGCTCCCTCGGACTAACAGCCGGAAGCCCCCCCCCCCCATTGGCCAAGAGTACATAGTAATCCCCTGGGGGTCTGGGCATTTAGCTTGCTGCTCAAAATGGAATGACTAGATACTAGAAACCATCCTCGACTGGGTTTCCATTCGGAAATCCCCAAAACGGCTCACTCCCTCCTAAAGCACCGATCGCCTCGGTTCGCTTCTGGCTAGACCCTCCAGTAGAGAGGTTAATTAGAATAATCCATTTTTTCTTGTAGTCTATTTTAGTAGGGGAACCCTCCCCCAAAAAAATGGGGTGAGAAAGGGCACCTAGCTGGGGGACCTAGCCGGGCTGTTCCGAGGCTTTCGGCTGAGGAACCGCGCCCAGAGCCCACCCGAAAAGGCCGCGATCGCTTGGATCATCGCCTCGCTGCGCCAATCGGGAGGAAAACTCCGGGTGGGCAGGTCTGAGGGGGGGTCGGGACTTTGCCTTCCGTTGCGTTCCGTTTGAAGCGGGGGCCTTCCGTGGCGTTCCGTTAGAAGCAACCACTAAAAACGTGTGTGTGTGTGTGTGTGTGTGTGTGTGTGTGTGTGTGTGTGTGTGTGTGTGTGTGTGTGTGTGTGTGTGTGTGTGTGTGTGTGTGTGTGTGTGTGTGTGTGTGTGTGTGTGTGTGTGTGTGTGTGTGTGTGTGTGTGTGTGTGTGTGTGTGTGTGTGTGTGTGTGTGTGTGTGTGTGTGTGTGTGTGTGTGTGTGTGTGTGTGTGTGTGTGTGTGTGTGTGTGTGTGTGTGTGTGTGTGTGTGTGTGTGTGTGTGTGTGTGTGTGTGTGTGTGTGTGTGTGTGTGTGTGTGTGTGTGTGTGTGTGTGTGTGTGTGTGTGTGTGTGTGTGTGAGTGTGTGTGTGTGTGTGTGTGTGTGTGTGTGTGTGTGTGTGTGTGTGTGTGTGTGTGTGTGTGTGTGTGTGTGTGTGTGTGTGTGTGTGTGTGTGTGTGTGTGTGTGTGTGTGTGTGTGTGTGTGTGTGTGTGTGTGTGTGTGTGTGTGTGTGTGTGTGTGTGTGTGTGTGTGTGTGTGTGTGTGTGTGTGTGTGTGTGTGTGTGTGTGTGTGTGTGTGTGTGTGTGTGTGTGTGTGTGTGTGTGTGTGTGTGTGTGTGTGTGTGTGTGTGTGTGTGTGTGTGTGTGTGTGTGTGTGTGTGTGTGTGTGTGTGTGTGTGTGTGTGTGTGTGGTGTGTGTGTGTGTGTGTGTGTGTGTGTGTGTGTGTGTGTGTGTGTGTGTGTGTGTGTGTGTGTGTGTGTGTGTGTGTGTGTGTGTGTGTGTGTGTGTGTGTGTGTGTGTGTGTGTGTGTGTGTGTGTGTGTGTGTGTGTGTGTGTGTGTGTGTGTGTGTGTGTGTGTGTGTGTGTGTGTGTGTGTGTGTGTGTGTGTGTGTGTGTGTGTGTGTGTGTGTGTGTGTGTGTGTGTGTGTGTGTGTGTGTGTGTGTGTGTGTGTGTGTGTGTGTGTGTGTGTGTGTGTGTGTGTGTGTGTGTGTGTGTGTGTGTGTGTGTGTGTGTGTGTGTGTGTGTGTGTGTGTGTGTGTGTGTGTGTGTGTGTGTGTGTGTGTGTGTGTGTGTGTGTGGTGTGTGTGTGTGTGTGTGTGTGTGTGTGTGTGTGTGTGTGTGTGTGTGTGTGTGTGTGTGTGTGTGTGTGTGTGTGTGTGTGTGTGTGTGTGTGTGTGTGTGTGTGTGTGTGTGTGTGTGTGTGTGGGTGTGGGTGTGGGTGTGGGTGTGGGTGTGGGTGTGGGTGTGGGTGTGGGTGTGGGTGTGGGTGTGGGTGTGGGTGTGGGTGTGGGTGTGGGTGTGGGTGTGGGTGTGGGTGTGGGTGTGGGTGTGGGTGTGGGTGTGGGTGTGGGTGTGGGTGTGGGTGTGGGTGTGGTGTGGGTGTGGGTGTGGGTGTGGGTGTGTGGGTGTGGGTGTGGGTGTGGGTGTGGGTGTGGGTGTGGGTGTGGGTGTGGGTGTGGGTGTGGGTGTGGGTGTGGGTGTGGGTGTGGGTGTGGGTGTGGGTGTGGGTGTGGGTGTGGGTGTGGGTGTGGGTGTGTGGGTGTGGGTGTGGGTGTGGGTGTGGGTGTGGGTGTGGGTGTGGGTGTGGGTGTGGGTGTGGGTGTGGGTGTGTTCTTTTGCTCGGGGTACCCTTTTCGGCTTGCTTTGAAGAAAAAAAGACACAAGGGAAAAACCACAGTTTTGAGGTCCCGCTGTTTTGGCACAATGCGTGCCATGGATCTCAAAAGATCCGCCTGTAGGTCCTGGTCAAATGGTTCCCTTCGGAACCTGCACCTTGTCAAAAGCCCCTCAGGTCGATGAGCATCTGCAATTTCCGGACACTCCCAAGAGGCCCATGAAATCGTTGACCTCAAAAGTGTGTCTTGACATGCGCACAAACAACAAAGCCCCCGGAAAGAACTCCTGGGAGGTCTCCTAAACAACTCTCTGGTGGGACAACCGAAGAACTTCACCCATATGTCCATCACCCCAACCAGGAAATTAATCCAAACAAAAAGACGTGTGATGTTTGAACGGCTGAAATTGGACACATCGGGACCCCCTTGCCCAAGGGAAAGCAAGTCCATGTTTGGGAGGGTCTTGACGGATTGCTAAACCATGATCAAAAAGCGTCAAAACCTCGGGCGCTTGGCAGCTGAACACCCCCAAACCACTCAATCTGCCAGGTTCGTCCCGGGGTGGCTTTGATCTTGACGCATGTCCGGCCAACAAAGCCACTTCCCCGCGATGGCCAGTCACGCATTTGCTAAGCCCCACGCGTGGAGCCAGTTCCCTTTGGGAACCAAAAGCCGGCGTCCGCCCAACAACCAATTTGAGGGAAGAAAGTGGCTTTCTGATTCACTCGAGTCACCGCACCCAAGGCAGTCAGAAGGGACATGTGGTATTCTGATGCAAGCTTTGACAGGTTTCGCTCACTTCGGGGCAACTGAGTGCCACATGTCTCCAAAGTTTGCGAGACTTTGGACACCCTAAAAGCTACTCGCCCTTCTCAGGGGCAAGACATGCACCGTGTTGAAACATTGGATTTCAGGTTGTCACCTAACTGCGAAGGAGCGAGCGAGCAAGCGATCGAGAGTCCAAGAAAGCACTGTGGAGGTGAGTCCAAAGATTGAATTGGATGTGCCTAAAAATGGCCGGGATTTTGTTTGTTCTTCTCGAAATTTGCGTAAAATCATCCAAGCAAAACGGTCCATAGCCAGGTAAATGATGCCTTCTTGGACTGACGCCAGCATGTTGATTCCATGGGGCCACTCCTGCCACCTCAAAGGCTGAATGTGGGCGGGCGACTTGCAAACTTTGCCGGGAGTTCAACCCTCAAGTTGATGCGGGTTTCATCTTGGGTCAATATCGCCACACTGTTCATGGCAGAAGACAAAGGCTCATTTTGATAGAGAACCTGGTGGGCGTAAATCTCAACCCAAATGATGTCCCCCAAAAGGGTCCCTGCAAAATGCGGGTCAGTTGTTTTGAAACCAAATATTATTTCGGGTTGGTTCTCTTTGGACAGCGCGATTTTGTGCAACCCATCAGTCCCTTTGTGGCTTCCGAACACCGCTTCGAATTGCTGGGCTGTTCAGAATAAAGTCTGCGCCTATCGGATTTGGCATCCCTAATTGCAACCACTACAAAGCGGACCTGCTCAGGAGCCTCCACTAGGAGGGCTGTGCTGAGCTGTGTATTCAGCTTCCTAATCGACAAATCGGACGTCTGGTCTAGCTTGTATCTGAGGGGTAGGCTGATGCAACTCTTCTGTAAGCCTTTGAACCGTTGTGCATAGTACTGGTACCTCGGCTGCATAGAGTGCCTCGTTTTGAGGCAACCATCGGCAGTCCTTCAAAAAACGGTGACAATGATCACAATGTCACAATTGCCCTTCTCCTTCTTGTTGAACTGATTTGATCTGTGCGTTCAAGGAACTTTTCAAGACTTGAACCTGGCCTACCCTTTATGCCAGAAACCTCGCCCACCAGAAACATCGCCTACCCTTTATTCTGATCTGGCGGTCGCCTCCTCAGCATTTCCTGGATACTCCCCGGACACAAAATCCGACAAACACCTATCCACTATGTTGGGGCCAGGACAGCCTTGTGTTGGAGTCCCTTCTGCGAATTTGCATGGAAGGACTTATGAAAAGCGTGTATGTGTGTCTGTGTGTGTGTGCGTCTCTCCCTCCCTGAAGCAGTCCTACGACCGACAAATTGCAATCGCAGCGTTCTACAGGCGGTCGACTGATTTAAACGTCCTTTGCCCTTGCCGGTTGCAAGGGGATACCATGGGACACAGTGTGGCTCACCATCTAACATCAGTCGCAATCATTTCAGCAGTCCACCCTCTAGCAAAGTGAACAATCTCGTATTCCGGCTACCAGCAGCCTTTGCCCTGAAGCTGTCGAGGGTGCCATCGAGACATACACACACACAAACACAAACACAAACACAAACACAAACACACACACAAACACAAACACAAACACAAACACAAACACAAACACAAATACAAACACAAACACAAACACAAACACAAACACAAACACACACACACACACACACACACACACATGCCGATATGTATACACAGAAACACAAACATGGGTGTTTCCAAAACAGAGAACCCTTGAAACTGGTCGGTTTCGCTGTGAATCCCCTCGAACGCCCATCTGAAAGAAGCCCATTTTTTGGAATTGACACCCCCATTCACGCGGTTCAACATCTTTGCATCAATTTACAAACATACGAAAAAACATACCCAGGTAGAGACAAAGAAGCAGCCAAGTCATGAAAAGCTTAAGGTGAAAACCAAACATAAGTTTAAGCCTAAAGGTGCAGTCGGTGAGGTTCCTACCTTCAGGTGTTACATGATGATCCCCGTGACTCGTTACAAAGATCCGTGTCTAAGGGAGGCGATCCTGGTCAAGCTTTCAACAATGCCACGCATACTCACACAAATGTATCGAATCATTGAACTCTGTTCAGGAACTCATGTTGCGTGTTAAGGGGCAGGGTCTGCCTCACTCGCATTCTCCAACGCGCTTTCCAGCCCATCTAAGTCTCCAAAGCCTTTGACTTAAATTATGGGTCCACCGCCCACTTTTTAAGGGAGTTTTGGACACTCCAAGAACCACAAAACCTGACATCCTGTGGCTCAAAGAAAAGGGGCATCCAGCCTTCCATCCAAGTAGCTACAACAAGTCCAGGTTGCTTTGGCATGAGCCAATGGGTCCCACGGAATGAGTACTCCAACCGCATCAAGGTCAGCTTCCAAAGCAACAAACCATATCACATACTACTGCGGGTAGGTGTCCAATCTTCGTACAAGAACCACACCCAACATGTCCGTTGCTCAGCTGGAAGCTGCGACACTTGAATTCGCCATGCAGGACCTTGCTGCTGTAGCCTTTTCACTGAAAGGTATCGTAGGGATGCATCTGAGTGACTTAGAGTGCACAAACCTGAAATGTTCGCTTCCTTGCGAGGTCCTTAGCCGAAATCCTTTGGGGGCCAAGCTCGCTTGAGAGGATGTGGCAGAAAGTTGCAAACTCATTCCATGGGTTCTTCAGACGGAGGCCCCAACAAAATGTTGCCATCCAAACGTCTTTATCCCCGCTAAGCAAACCCATGGCAGGAACAGCCGTGCAAACGGGTCTGCCTCAAAATTTGGGAAGTCCGACCTTGGATGGTGGTTTGATGGAAGCCAAACCACGAAACCAGCCGTTTTTGGTTGGTAAGAAATTGTGAGGCCAACCCTCTTTGGTTAGTGAGATGCCCACATCCTTTCAGAACATCCGAGTCGCGGCAGGTCCAGTGACACCAAAGGGCCGTGCTTCCACATCGGGAAGGCCCTTGTTCCGATCTGTGTGGCGTGCTCTTGACTCAGGGGGCAACCTTCTCCAGGTTTGATGCTTCATCTTTTGTTCGGATCAGTGGGGCTTTGAATAGACTGGATGGATGCCATCCGGATGGTCAAGCGAACGCAAGTATCATTTCACCCTGCTGTGGTTGCTTTCCCAGGAATACCTGTTGCCAAAGTGTTGGGACATCAATTGGTTCCTTTAGCTCATGCGGAGGCAAGACGTTTCTCGTAAAAGGCAGTCTCAAAAGTACAATCCTGCCACGCACATGTCAAAGCCTGGGCAAAGTACCCCCCCCGGAACTTGACTACTGTTGTTGATATGACAGGAGTGTGCAAGAGCCAAACACTTCTGCAGTTCAAGTTGGACTCTAGTGTTCTGACAAGTTCGCGGGTCGACTTTGGAAGCCTAGTCAATGGGGCCCAAACAGCAACCAGACTTACACCAGGCGCACACATTATATATATATATATGTATACATACATATGGCCATAGGTCAAAAGCCTGTACCCCCAGTGAACATCCCAATCCCCACCAAAATGGGCGGTGCACCCACCCCAAAATAGTACCATTGGTTTTGACCCACAGTCATATATACTAATACATATACGTACTTTTTGTTGAAGTAACACGTTGCCCCCTTGGTGGAGGAAAGCAAAAGTGCCGCTCTGCTCATGTCCAAGTTGTCTCTCAGCCTGGCATCGCGAGAAGCCACCCATTGGTCAATCGGAATGATGATTTGCGGTCAAAAAAACGATGCAAAAGCCGAACCGACCTCCTACCAACGTAGTGGATTGAATTTGAAGCGCGCCTTTCTTTCAAAACCAATTGAGCAGCGCCCGAATCTCTACTATGATTGCCACACATCAAGGTTTTCCGAGGCTTTTACGCTAACCCCAATTCAAGGTCCGTCTACTATGGCCAAGCAAAGGTTCGGCGCTGAATTGGAAAAGCTTCCACCGGAATGGCAAGAAAACCCGACCCGTGTCCAAGATTTGATAGCGTATGCTCCGACCAACCAAAGCCATACATCTATTGTTCGCACTCAGGGCATCGCGAAATTGGAAGAAGGCCCCCTTTTGTTTGTTCTTTTCCTAGTGTTGCTCCAAAAGGGTAATCTGGGGAAATCATCCGTGCTGGGTTGGTGCGACTCCGATTTTAGGAGAGCCTGGATTCAGGCTCCCTATCAAGCATCATGCCAGGAAACCTCAAACCATTCAACCAAACGGCGCACGAACCTGCAAGTTTGAGTTTGGTGGCGTCAGCGGACTTTGTGCGGGTTTTGGCGAAGCTTGGCACGCAGTGTCTGGGATCGCGCTGGCGCACTCTCCTTGTGAATGTTGTAGCTCAACATATCATTTCATTTTTTGTAGAAGTTTACCCAGGAGTGAGCGACACTATCAGCGTTTCTGCTTGAGTGAACCTTCTGTTGGCTTCATAGTCCATTGAGCCCATTGATGTCTGCGCACGTCGCTCATCAACTCACTGACCTCAGGCCCCACATTACGTGCAGGCTCAGCAACGTTGACTTCAAATTATCTAAAAAGCCTACAGTCAGTGGAATCACCAACGAATAGAATATTAAGCGGTTCTGTAAGGGGGTCCGCCTGTGATTAGCGCTATCCTGCGGGTTTGTCCGATGTTTGCATTATTTTGCACGCTTTCAAGGCACACCGGCCAGACATGTCACCCTGTCAATGTGGCGGCGCTGCTAGTATCTACCTTTCTTGTGTTTGCAGGAGTCATTGAGGCACAGCTGTTTGCCCCTGTCATACTTCTGAGGAATTGTGTTTCAATTGTTTTTCTTGCTCTTTTGCAGGCTTTGTAAGTGTTACGTGTTCATGTTCGCGTGCAAAGTCCTGGCTGCTTGCCCAGCATTGGCAGCCACCGTTGAAGGTGTTTCATTGATAGCTAGGCTTTGCAGACTCAATTTATGGAGTTGTTTAGGCACTCATTTCACAAGCCCAGTGATGATTTGACTTCGCGCTTTGTTTGCAATCCTTGGACACGCTCTTTCGAAGCGTGCCATTGCGTGTTGTTGATTTTAAGACGCATCCCGCATCGGAATCAACTTGTCAAAGCCGCATGCTATTGCAAAATGTGTCTCCCATCGGCATTTCTTCAAACTCGCGCAAGGTAACACCGTTGGGCTGTGGTACTGCCAAGTGGCAGACACATCATAGAAGCATGTCACTTTTACTGGAGGCTGTATGTCCGGGAATGCAATGCGAGCGTTTAGTTGCTGTCAGAGTGTTTTTTTTGGTTGTTGGTTAGAAGGCAGCTGTTTCTGCTGTTTGCACCTTTGCGACTCTCATCGTTCCAGTTCTGAAGCAGAAGAATCTGTGTCTTCCGCTTTTGAAGCCTTGCCTGTGGGAGTTGCTTGGGGGCCTGTGCGCTGCATGCAGTCTTTCCGTTTGAGTGTCGTTGTGTCTTTTTGGCATGATACTTCCACATTTGGTTTCCATTCCCCTCTCAGGCAATTCTGCTTCTTGCGCAGATCGGATTTTTTCACGTAACGCCATCATTTTCTACACGTACAGCTGATTGCTAAGCCGCCGAAACACGTGAGGTAGCAATTCGGCGTGCAATTCCTTGTACCCCGCAACCCGCATAAGGTTGTTAGAACCTAAGTAATGGCAAGACAAAGTTAATGACGCTTTAACATTTTTTCAATTTGTTCAGACACACTACATTAAGATGAAGTACGTTCATATTGTGTTTTGTTATATTTCTACTGTTTGTGTACTAACTATTAGTTGGAAAAGTACACGACACAAACCCTTTTGTTGAACTGCCTTTATACACCGATACTTACTATAACTTCTTTTTGCGGAAGTATTGCGAAGGGTTCGCCTTCTAAAACAAGCCGCGAGCTTGACACGGCAACCGTAACACCAACAAAATGTTGCCTTACAACTTCATCGAGAACAAATAACTCCTCTAAGGATTTATTTAGGGCTTGCCTCTATGAATAAATTGCACGCCTTCTTTACGCGGATGGGGGGGAGCACACAGGCTTGCCGACTCGGCAACATTTACCCCTACTTGTGGGAAACGTTCACGCCCAAATTGGTGGTAAATTGTGGGACACTGGGTGTAATTATATTGGGAGCATTTTGGGAGACATGTTGGGCAATTTCGCCCCCCATTTTGAGGTAAATTACCTATAAAATTGGGGCAGACCACAAAATTAGCGTAAATTTCCCCTAACAATGGGGGGTAAATTGCCCACACAATTGGGGGTAAATCGCCAACAATTGGGGTAAGCATGCACAAAATTGGAGTAAATTTGGGGTAAGTTGGTGGTAAGAGTTACTGCTACAGGCAAGGCTTACCGAATCATATATGCCGAGCTCGAACAACTCGTGGCTCTTGCAACTTCATTTTGACCTGGACGGACTTGTTTGTGTTTTTGTGCGCGTTTTGCTCGCGCTTTTCTCGGTATTGTCTCGCGTTTTCGTGTGGTGCTTGGGGCGAAGCCACGGTAGAAAACGCACACGAATCCACTCCACAGGTGAATATTGATGAATGCGTGACATGTGGTTGGAAGGACGTGTCATGGCATTCAGTGAGCCAACCAGTGTGTTTCCCAGAGAACCCTGACAAGTTGTTCGGCATAATTCACTGAAAGCGCTCAGCGCGCCTTGCTGCTTTGGTGTCATGTTTGCCCAGGAAGATTTCAAGAGGCCTCAGCAACCAGCTTGCCCGGAAGATGCTGCTGGACAAGAACAGCGAAGGTGAAATTACTTTCATCCTCACCCACTCTGATGTTTTGAATGAATCTGAAATAGCCAAGCGAGGAGGTGGCTCCAGGAACAACCTCATTCAAGTTTGCCCAAGACATGGAACTCGAGCTGTGGCATTCAGATGGCACTCAGTCGGCGCCACTCACATCGACGTCAAGCATTCTGGGTGCCTTCGCATTGTGTCAGCCACGGATTACCTCCGAGTGCAAGGCTTTGATATCTACGAGCCACTCACGATTGAAAGTGAGGAGGAGACCCAAGGTCGCTCAGATCATTTCTTCATGGGAGGCAGGGTAGGCAAAAATTAGCAAAGCTAAGATGATGATGGTGACATGTGAGCCACGAACAGACCCTACAATCAAGTTGCTGTTGTTGTATGTTGGCCCAGCTTTCCTTTTGCACTTGTCTTTTTTGAGTTGTGAGGCGTCCGCTACCCAAAGGCTCCGCGATTGAAAAAATCAATTGATCGATTGATTTTTGTACCATTTCAATCTTCGATTGAAAACAGAAAAAAATCAATAGATTTGAGGTTTGGCATGTCTTGCAGGATCAATTCACGATTGATTTTTCTATTGGATTTTCGATTGAATTTGGCAGGCTTCGCGATTGATTTTTCGATTGGTTTTTCGATTGAATTTTCGATTGATTTTTTGACTGTTTGTTCTTTGTTTTTTCTTTTGTGTTCTGTGCTCTTGAGTTGCAATCTTCATTGCGTGCGTACTTCTCATTGGGCTGTGTTTCGAAGTACCTTACTCTCATTTTCATCTTGAACCACCAATGCTTTAACCATAAGATGGCTGGATAGCCATGAGAGATGGCTGGATAGCCACGAGTGATGGCTGGATAGCCATGTGCTTCACATATACTGCTGGCTGCCACAAACTGCTGGCTGGATAGCCATGTGTTTCACACACTGCTGGCTGGACAGCCATGTGCCTCACACACTGCTGGCTGGATAGCCATGTGCCTGACACACTGCTTATGAAAATCCAGCAGCCATTTTGCTCCACCCCAGCTGGCGCCACCCAATGGTATGGGAAAAGGTGGAGCGAGGAGGTCAAAAACACCTACAGTGGACATGAAACATTTGCTTGATATTCTCAAAAGCTATGTGAGAAAATCTGGACTGGAGGGCTCACTGAATTTTGAGGAGTACTTCAACATAACCAGGCCCATGGCAGTGAATGGCAAGGAACTCGCAGAGCAACTTGAATTTCTACGGGGCCTAGCCCAGGTGAACCCAGAGCTTGTCTTTAAGTACTCAGAGCTTAAGGACATCTACAAAGAGCTTGAGAAGACCTTCCCTGACCTCAAGCACAAGTTCAACTTGGAGAAGAGGGCCAACTTGACACACTACTTGAGCGATGCTACCATGGTCATTTGTAACCATGCCAGGAGGCTCCATTACAATGAGAAAAAATTCCCCTAGGCCTGCAAGAACCTGACTGACAGACAGCCATGCAGCTGCACTATTAGCACGAGTTTTGCCTTTTCTCAAAAAACAGCTTTGACTTTTGTTCCATGTAGCCAAGGGTGGCAAAGCTAGAGGAGTTCAAGAACTTGGTGGGGGAGGATGAAGAGGATGGCCAGCCCAGCAGTCAGCAGGACTTGCCTAGCACCCAGGACTTGCTGGAGATGGAAGTCCCAGAAACACCACTCAAAAAAATCAAAAAAACTGGTTCGCCACCACTCCTCAAAGCCATCAATCTGAGACACAAAGCACTTTGCTGAAAGAGGCCCTTAAGACTTCACCAGTGCCAGCCAGGAAAAAAACCTTGAAAAGCCTGATGAAAAAACCTGCAGGGAAGCCCACAGCCAATCTTAAGAGGCCAGCTTCAAAGAAGGACGCAGCCAAGAAGCAAAAGCATGACGAGAAGGAAACCTTCAAGACAGGAAGCCTGCAGATCATGGTCTACAAAAAAACCAAAAGTGTTGCAGTGAGGGTGAGG